AAAGGAAAGTGACCATAACACTTGGAGTGACCAAGAGATCTTTATTGCAGCAGTGAGAGAGAGAGAGAGAGAGAGAGAGAAGGAAGAAGAAGAGGAGGAGGAGGAGGGGGAGGGAGGGGGAGGGGAGGGGACGGGGGGGGAGGGGAGGGGAGGGGAAAAAAAGAGAGCACAAGAGAGAGGGCCCTTCAGGAGGGAGTTTTTATAGCCAAAATCCAATGGGGTCTTGGGGTCTGCAAGCTGCCTTGTTGGCATACAGTGATTGGATCATACAGTAGTTGCTAAGAGTGTCTTCTGCCTTCAGGCAGATGGGGCAGGGGTCAGATGTGGGTTTCTGTTGCACCAGATGGGTGGGGGTCAAGTGTTCAGCCTTGAGCGAGGTTGAGTATTCAGACTTGACACAAACAGGTGATAAAGGACCAGACAGAGGGGGGTTTGAGTGCTCAGGTTATCCTGCAGCTAACATTTGTTCAGCCTGCCTGACACTCAGCAGCACAGAAAATCCAAAGTCTCTTAAAATCCAAGTGCTATAGCACATTCATTCATTTAAAGCAAAAGGATAGTTCCCAAGAAAATTGAGGCACAACTCCTTAGACTAAGAGAACCTTGAGAGCAGATATAAATGTGTTCCTATTAGAACTCATCAGTTGACCTCTACATTCCATTTCTTACAGTATCTCTGTGTGCTCTGCATGTCATTCCTCACAGTGAGCAAACTGATTCCATTAGAATGTGTAGGTGGAAGGAACCAATAGGGTTACTGTCATTCAGAATGATGCTGACACTGTTCTAATCACTTAACATATACTGAGGAAGATAACGTCTGGCTAAGTGAGAAAAAAATGCTTGGCACCAAACAACATGAGCTCTTAAGCCAGATTACCAGGTTTGATTCCTAGTTCTATCATTTCATAGCTGTGTGACTTTAGGCCAAATAACTTCATCTTGTACCTCAGTTTCCTAAAAAAAAAGATGATAAAATTTCATAGGGTATGGTAAGAATTAAATGAGTTAATGGGGGGTGGGGGATGTGGCTCAAGCGGTAGCGCGCTTGCCTGCTATGCGCGGGGCGCTGGGTTCGATCCTCAGCACCACATACAAATGAAATAAAGATGTTGTGTCCACCGAAAACTGAAAAATAAATATTAAAATATTCATTCTCTCTCTCTTTAAAAAAATGAGTTAATGGAACAAAGTGCTTACAACAAAGACTTGAAACTATTTGATTTTATCCTAATCCCTTACACACACACACACACACACACACACACACACATCCCTTGCTTGTATTCTAACTGGTGGAGTCTGGAATTTGTACAGCTAACTGCTCTCCCACACCTGGGCACGTACTTCTCTCAAACAATGAAGGCAAAGTCACTTCTCTGGCTAGGGACAGAGGAATGGCAGATGTTTCAATTTTAGTCAATGAGACACAAGTTTCCTGTGGGATGGGAGTGTTTACGGAAGATTTCTTTGCAAAAGAAGTGAATTAGAAGAAAATGTCTCTTTTCTTCTAATGATACCGCTTATACACTTACCTGTAAAAGCAGAGCCATCTTGGCACTGTGAAGGTAGCTGGAAGAAAAAAGGGAACAATAATGATTTTGTTCAGTTGAAGAATTAACAGCCCTGAAGTTCCTACTTCTGAACTTTTTGAGTGAGGTAAATTTTCCTTACTGCTTAAAGCATCTTGAGTAGGCTTTTCTGTCACTGTATCTGAAAGTACCCTAACAGAGCATCTATTAAGTTGAAGATATCTTAAGGAAATACAAAGCGTAAAACTCTGAACCTGATCTCAACAAATTTTTCATACACTTGTGGGAGATAAACCATGAAAAGAAAACTATTATAGTAGGCAGTGAATGTTAAGTGCTTGGATTAAGGTAGTCTAACTAAGCAATACAATTCATACATCAAGAGTGGCCTCAAAGAATGAGGAAAACATGAGCAGGGGAAGAGGGAACATTCTAGGTAGGGAAAATAATATATACAAGGGGTGAGTTAGAGACTGTATTAATTTACTAAGTCTGCCATAACAAAAATACCACACATTTGATTGCTTAAAACATAAGTTTATTTCTCACAGTCTGGAGGCATGAAATCGAAGATCAAACTGTTGGAATCACTGGTTCCATTTTGAGGCATCTCTTTGATTCGTACATGGCTACCTTTTTGCTATGTCCTCTCATCCTTGGTGTCCTTGTGTATCCACACTTCCTCTTCTTATAATGGTATCAGATTGGATCAGGGTCCACCTTAAATGGTCTTATCTTAATCATCTCTTAAACACCCTGTTTCCAAAATAAGTCTGAGGTATGGATATTAAGGATTCAACATGAATTTTGGGGTGGGGGGACATGATTTAACTCACTAGGGATGAAAAAGAAGTCTAACAGAGATCACTGGAGGATGAAGTTGGAAGGTTATGTTAGGACCAGACGTAGGTAACCTTGAATGTTGGGCCTAGAGTTTACTCTTGCAGCAGCAGGGAAGCAACATAGATTTTTAAAAATAATTTGACAGCAGTGTGCCACAGGTGTTTTATATGAGAAAGAGCTGGATAAGAGAAATGGATTAGGATTGCTGTTGCTATAGTCTATATAGATACTGATAAGGACAAAAATGAACTCAGGAGGAGGAGTAAATGAAAGAGCAGAAAGGGCAAAGATGTATGCTTGCAAATTTCCATCAATCAAGTCAGTGTAAGTTTGTGCTATAATGATTTGGCCTTTACAAAGAATTACTATTTTGTCATAATAGGGTTGTGAAACTAGGACATTGGGATAACCGTTTTGAAACACTTAGGACTAATAATATGAAAGGGAATAGACTGCCTTGATGGGTATACCCTGAGGTGTTCTAGAAATCAGTTTTATAGAAATGTGAAAATATCAAGTAGAATGCTGAATTATTAGATATTCTTCAAGGTCCCATCTATGGCTTAGTGTAAAAGTTTATTTAGAGTCCAGAAGAAGCAAAGCATCTAGCAAATACCCCAAATTGCCTAGTGTTTTCACAGAGAAGATCTAGAGTAAGGTGTCTCTCTCCAACTCTGGTTGGAGTAGACCCTTTTGTTGTCTAGTTTAATACTCAGCTTATTTCAAGAGCAAGAGAGTGGCATATAGACTATAATAAATGGGCTTGAGAAATTAAGAATTTGATCACTAAAATGGAAACTTAGGATTCTAAGACCTTTTGAATTATAAACTTAGAATGTATGACTTCTGTAAATTATAATTCCCCCACCCCACACAGTTATCAAATACACATTTTCATAGCCATACATATAAAAAGTATATATACACTATAAATATTTATATTGCTAAATATGTTATGCATAAACAGAAAGGTATATGATTTTTATTTCTTTAATAACAGCAGAGTTTGCATTAAACATTATCCAACAATTTGTATATTTCATATAAATGTATTTATATATAGCCCATATTTAAAATATTTTCTTAAAAATAAGGCCAAATATACCACCTAATCTGGATTATGTAAGTATCCAAAAAAATATGGTATTCTAAAGAAGTTATAATGAAACAATAAATTTCTGTCAGTTCTTAAACATTACAATATGTAGGGTTATTCTATTTCAAACATTTTTATTAGACTCTTGAAGGAAGAAAAATAGAATGATTCAATATCTTTGTACTTTTTTTTTTTAAAGAGAGAGGAGATAGAGAGAATTTTTTTTTAATATTTATTTTTTAGTTTTCGGCAGACACAACATCTTTGTTTGTATGTGGTGCTGAGGATCGAACCCGGGCCGCACGCATGCCAGGCGAGCRCGCTACCGCTTGAGCCACACTCCCAGCCCCTCTTTGTACTTTTATTAACAGAAAAACCTTTCCAGATGATTTCAGATATTGAGTTTTTTATCGGAATAGAATGAATATATACATGGTACCAATTTCAAAGGCTGTCAAAAGGTACATGTAGTTAAAAGGAAGTATTCCTTTCTTCTCAATTCCCCAACCCTGTAATTTCTTTTTACTTTTTTTTTTTGGTGGTGCTGGGGATTGAACCCAGGGCCTTGTGCATGCAAAGCAAGCACTCTACTAACTGAGCTATATCCCCAACCCCATCAACCCTATAATTTCTTTCCTTGGAATGAATTGTTAATGAGTTTCTTATAAATTCTAAAAGTATTTCTGAAGATTCTATTCAACACTCTATCTTATCCCCCAAAAGAAATCTAGAAATTTTTATTTCAATTTTTTTATTTCAATTTTGACTTCTTGATCTAGTGACAGAGAAGAGATAGAATAAGGCCACCAAGTCAAAAGGTTTATTTGGGATCTTGGGATAATGAAGGATAAGTAAAGACTGATTTGGTCATCAAAGATTAAGAGCTTTGAGAAAACTGATAAAGCTCTTGAGTATATCTTTTTTTTTTTTTTTTTTTGCTTTTTAACCTTAATGGCAATGTAGCAAAAGACAAAGGTGAAGTATATCCTATATAGATAACTGGCCCCCAAATTTTGACTCATTCTTTGTTCTAAGACTTAGCACAGTTAATAATTCTAGACCTACACTTTTATGAAATGTAAACTTCATTTACAATTTTACATTTTGATTTTGAGATAAATTCAAATTAAATGGGGAAGATGTTGGAATTTGATGTTCTTGTTTTTAGTGAGTCATTTTACCTGGGTCTTTTTGGAGCCATTATCTATGAATCACAGTTACATGCATTCTCACTTTCCTTAAAGACCATCTGTTGTTTATGCAAAGGTAGAAGTACCTATAGGAAGGTTAGTTTTCAGTTTGTTAGTAAAAGGGAAGCCAGATAGCCAATAAAGAAATGCCAAAATGGCAAAAAAAGTATTAAACTTACCATAACAGGTGAAAAGTTATAGTTTTATTATAACAGTAAATATACATCTTGAGTAGCAACTAGTAAAGTACAACTAGTAGGCCTACCACACAAGATAAAAGAAAAAGGTTTGTTGATAATATGAACAAATACCTAAAAAATTGTTGAAAACAACAAAGCTTTAGAATGTTAGTTCCTCACATTCCACATAGAATTTCCAATGCTGATCCATTATATGGCATGGGAGAAATTCTTGATCGTTGATTAAAAGTATTTCATTGATTTGTAGATGATGTGGGATGTTTTGCACTGACTCTCTGGAAGTGCCTGTTTAAACATGCATCAGGAAATTGAGAAATTAAAAACTGCCTTTCCCAATGTAAGGTTTAAATTTATTATAAATCCTAGAATCTAATAAAATCTATGTGAGAGGACACATAACAGGTTCTTTGACCAGGGCATTCTTCACTCATTCCATTTTTTGTACCTGAGGCAAAACTATGAACCAGTTCTGGCTGACCTTGGGAGAGAGGCCTGTTTGCAGTCCAAAATAAGAGCATTTGGAAAAGGATGAGGGAAGCTTCTTAAGGTAACTGAACAAGCCCCTCTGCCTCAATGCCTCAATTTCCAATAAACTAGAAACAAGACAGTTGTGATGATTAAATGAGATTTTGCATGTGTAATGCTTAGCAAATTCCCTGGCATATAGCAAATATTCAATAAATATTAGCTATTATTATCATTATTATTTATTACTGAAAAGAATATTAGGCTGGAAGATAGATGATCTGTCCTACCTCTACCACAAACTTGGTGTGTGGTCTCAAGAAAGTTACATGGTTTCTCTGAACTTTCATTTCTGAGAGATGAAGAGGACTGATGATTAAAGAGGGTTCTTCTGGCTCTGCCAGTTTAAGGGGTCAGTGATCATAAAACTGGTTTCTTTCTGCTCCCCAATTGTTAACCTCCAACAGACAGTTTTAGTTAGAGATACCCATATAGTCTCAGAGCTTTGTTCATAATCCTAGGTGATATGTTTTACACTAGATATCTTCAGGTCAGTGACTTTTTTATGCCTAGTACTCATTTATGATTTTCCGTATGAACATCCTTTTCCCCCACACTTGGTCCATGTGAAGTTGAAGTTCACCAACAACTGGTGAAGTTGTTCCCCACATGATTTATTTAGCTCTGAGCCAATCAGTAAGTAGGCTTTGATTCAAAAAAGAGAATATAACCCATTCAAAGTAAAGTGAAGATGCAATACGATTGCTATTGGGTCTTTTAGGAAAGAGCCCCATATATATTTTTCTTTGCTAGACTTGAACCTGGTAGAATATAGAGCTGGGATAATGAGGAGAGGCTATTAGGATGGAGCTGAAATGGGAAATGGAGCTAAGAAATGGAAAGCAGAGAAACTGGGTGCTTAGTCATGCTGTTCAAATCCTGGATAAAGCTTGAAGACCTGTTCCTGACTTTTCATGTAATGCATCAATAAAATTCCTTTTTTGGAAGTTTAAGCCAATCTGGATAAGATTTTTAAGCTGTCACTTATAATACAAAGGATTTTGACTTTTTAACCCATGGTCTATATATAAACATAATAATTCCTATATTAATAGCTTTGGTTTTTTAGACTTTCTGAGACAAGGTATCCCACAAAAGTTGGGGGTAGGGAATATTTTTCTCTGAGGAAAAACCACAGAAATAAGGCTTTCAATAATTAAACATATTTCATCAAAGTTGGTTTGGTTTCATCAATTAAACACTATCATTTACACTAGTCCCTTCTCCCACAAGACACTGTCCCCTACTTCAGATATGATTTGAGAAAGTTAATACATCTACTATAGTTTATTTATATTTCACAATTTATTCTTAATTTTTCAATATTCAGGAATGTGCAAATTCTCCTATAGGACTGCTATTCAGAAGTAGAATTACTAAGTTGAAGGATTTGTACACATCTTATTATTTTTATTTTCTTTTAGTTGTATGGACACAATACCTTTATTTTATTTATTTATTTTATGTTGTGCTGAGGATCAAACCCAGTGCCTAACACATGCTAGGCAAGTGCTCTACCACTGAGCCACTACCACAACCCAGATTTATACACATTTTAAATTTTAAAAATTTTTGCAAGAGGAGCCCTCAAATGCATCCTTTTAAACTCTCACCAATAATATATAYAAATACAGGTTAGATAACCTGTTTTTTCTTCCATATACTTGCCAACACCGAATATTATCAATGTTTTTAAACTTTCCCACTCTGGTAGTAAAAAAAAAGTCTCTATTATTTTATCATGAATATCTTTCATAGATTTAATGTCCTTTAAAATTTCTAGGACTGGGAAAGTGCCTATTAATTCTGTCTGCATGTATTTTATATGATATTAATCAGAGCATGGTACTAATTAGGTCAGGAATTTAATCACTGTATAGATCAAAATTCTGCTCCAAAACTGTATTCCTTAGTTCACTGGGCACCTTCACTGGAATGTAATGTTTAGTTAAATCTGGTGTTCCAAAAGACAGAAAGCTAAAAGTTCATGTCTTGGTAACAACATACCCACAGCATTAGTTCTGAAATATCTACATATTTAATATTTAACTCAGCCATTGCTTCAGAGAATCACTGCTTACATTTCTTATTCTGTGAAGACTAAAATGAAAAAAAAAATGTGTTTGTTTTGAGACAGGGTCTCATTGCCAGGCTAATCTTGGACTCCTGGGCTCAAATAATCCTTCCCCTCAGTCTCCTGAATGTAGCTGGAACTACAGGTGGTATCACCACATCTGGCTTAAAATAAGTTTTAAATAGCTCATTTTTATTACTTTTCAATGCATCAAATATTTTAGTAATGCATATATACATTAATTATTATTTAGCAACAATGAATGACTGCTGGAAACAGATGCAATACTTCTGATTATTGATTTCCATAATGTTATATGAAACTGTTAGGAATACAAACAAGTTCATAATTTGGTAACAAGTATGTAATTCACATAGAGTTTAAATGACATTTTATAAAAACTATTCTATTGTTAATAATTCTATTAAMATCACAAAAGAAACAACTGGGGGTGAGCCAAGATCTATTAACACTCTGGCACTGGGAATTCCTCTACTTGCTGCCAGAGGGGAAGGGCAGGAAGGTCCTCAGCTGACAAGGTACACACTTTTCTCAAGGAACAAAGTCCTACCACCTTAGACCTGGGCTCTCTTTGAGTCTTCACAGCCAGCCCAAGTACATTCACATCATCCTGCTGTTAATCCAGTGTTCAGAGAAGGTTCACTGCTTGAATCTCCACTATAAAGTTTCTTGCAACATGTCAAATTACTCAACACAATTTATTATGCTTAAATAGATATTTTCCTTATTTATAGCTGTCTAAAAAAAGATTTCTGGCAGAGACTATGAGTTGCCTCCACTCCACCCCACCCCCCACAGCAACAGAACTGGGCAATACGTTAAGTGGAAAAACTATTTTTCAGCCCTTCTTAAAGCTAAGTGTGGCATTTGACTAAATTCTGGCCAATGAATTGTAAACCAAAATGTGTAGATTTCAGGGACAGCTATCTTTTTAAGGGAAAAGACATCCATCAAAGTTCCCCACCCCAGCCCATTTTTTGCCACCTTGCTTTCCATCTTCCTAATGTCTAGAATACAGATGTGATAGATGAAGATTCATTACTACTTTGGGTCATGGATAGACCTGAAAATGTAAATCAGTGCTGGGGAAGATGGAGCAGAAAGTCAGTATGACTTTCCAGTGGTGCTCTGTCTACTCGGGATCACTAACATCCAGTCTTCTCCATAAAAGAATAAAACTTTGTGTGTTTAAACTATGGCTGTTGCATGTAGACAAACTTAATCCTATCTATAAAGAACTTCTATACTCTAGGAATTAGATAGAACATTTTTGCAAAGATCTAGACAACTGGGTCTGAGAACTTGAATATTTAGGCATATGAAAAAAATACAAAGCCCATCCAGTATCTAAGTTTTGATATCCCTTTTACTATAATATGCAAATTTTAAAATATTTTTTTCAGTTGTAGATGGACACAACATCTTTATTTTATTTATTTATTTTTATGGTGTGCTGAGGATGGAACCCAGTGCCTCACACTTGCTAGGCAAGTACTCTACCACTGAGCCACAACCCCAGCCCTATAATATGCATATTTTAAGAAATTCCAATACATGAGATCAAATAAGTAGATGACTAAAAATATGAATACCATGGAAAAATATATGATTTAAGGGAACAGATCAGSAAGGTACAAGTATTGACATTTAAATATAACCATTTTATAGCTATCATAATCCCTGTAGTTTCATTGATATTGCTTTAGGAAATTTTATATACATCATCTCATTTGATCCTCTTGTCTGTTATTGCAGTCACATGTGGAATTAGGAAAAGCTATGGAAAACCAGAGGAAGGGTGGGCTTGTATGCACACAAAAAAACCCAGCATCTCTTTTCAAAGGGCAGGCCTCCCTCAAATGTCACAGGCCTAAATAAAGGCACTTTTAAGAAGGGTCAAGAACACTGCAAATAAGATGAGTTTCATTTTATTTGGAATAAATCATCACTATGTTGTTCACATAGAGAAGATGTCTAGCCAAATACAGAATGGTATGCAGTAACTCTGGACAAAGCAAAGTGCCCATCTTCCCAAGTAATACATCGAAAATAGAATATACCAACATTGGGATGCTTGAGATGATACAACAAAATTGTCTGGAAAACAACACTTTCAGATGGACATTTGTAACTTAGTGACTTCTGGGAGTAGAATTTTCTCTAACAAAGCAACACTGTAATACTAAAACTGTTTCTCCCCGCCTCCCCATTTCTCTAACCATTGCCATTACTCATCTTTGTCAAATTAGAATACATGAGAAAGCATTCTATAAAATTGTAAAGTGTTAGTCAATATTGCTTTGTATTGTAAACTAGCTCAGACTCCACAAGTTTAAGGGCCCAGTCTCACAAGACTGTCCTCATTTCTGATACCAGCTGTAAGCATTAGGTCCTGGGTCACCTATACTTCTGTCTGACTTACTAGAAATTTGAGGGTTTTTCACAACATACCCCTCCCAAGGGGAATTTTCCAGAATGACTCACACAACTCAGGAAAGTACTTCACTTAGTATTACCAGTTTTTTTTTTGTTTGTTTTGTTTTTGTTTTTTAAATAATTACACTCAGGAATAGCCAAATAAAAGAGATGCATAAGGCAAGGAACTTCCATGTTTTCTCTGGGTCTGGAACTCTCCCAGAACCTCAATGTGGTCCCCAATTCAGAAGCTCTCTAAATCCTGTCATTTATTGGTTTTTATGGAGGTCTCATTATGCAGGAATAATTGATTAAATTGCTGGCCACTAGTGATTAACTCATTTTTTAGCCTCCTTCTCCTGTCTCTGGAGGGTATAGGATGGGGTAGAATCTTAAAACTCCTAATCAAGGCTGTCTGGTGTCTTTCTGATGACCAGCCTCTATTCTAAGGCTATCTAGGGTTCAGCAAAAGCCCTCTTATAAGAAAAAAAGATGCTATCACTCTTTATCACTTGGGAAATTCCAGGGACTTTAGGAGCTTTATGCCCATAACCAAGAATGATTTTTCTATGCTACCACAATTCTGAATCAGAAATATAACTCCAATCAAAAGCAAAATGATTAACAATTATTTCAGTAGATGGTAAAAATATATCTATGTAGTTACATTGGGATAAAGCTTAATGCCTTTCTTTTTTTTTTAAACAGAGGGATCCTAAAGAGTAAAAATGATGATGCAATATTACATGATTTGATGCTTAAAACTAAGAATTTGATATAGATTTACATTGATAGTATCAAAAGTTATCTGTTAAAACTGTACTATAATCAAGAAATAGACTGAAAGTATCGTTACTTATAAATGATTTAAGCTCTCATTATGTGGGGGAAAATCTGAAATCTAATGGGAGGAGTTTTCAGCTGAATTTGGTTTGGAGTACTTGATTTTATATGTAAAGTGTTCAGCTTTTTTTGTGCATTTGTTTAAGCAGAAAGAACCTCAGAATGCTCCTAAATGGCCTAATGATGTAAGGAACCTAGCAGAGGGCCAGGAACATCACACGTACTCAATAAATATACTTTTCTTCTCTTGCCTTCCCTGTGAATAGATGTATTCTCTATTTTGTGAATTAGGTCAAAGGAGTGTCAATCATGATAACAGAGTAAAAAACATTATGTTTCACATAATGAAAAAGAACAGGAGTTGTAAATATGAGCTGAAATAAACATCCTCTGCACTGTTATCAGGCACTCATCTTCCATAGGCTTCAAGTTCTTAACCACATAAAAAGAAGCACCTGTCTATGTTTATGCTCTATTACATTTACTTTTACAGAAATAGGAAGCACAATAACAACCCTGAAATGAAGAAAACTGTCTTTAAAGTCATTTATCTCAATATTATCAGTAGTTTAAAGATTATTTTATTAAAACCTGGAAAAGTATGTTACTAGTTTTCCTGGAAAAGCATATTTAAAACAAACATATGATGTTGGCTCTCCATTAAATACATAGTCAGTATGTATTAAGTGATGGTTTGGGAAAAGACTTCAGGTGATTTTTTAAAAAAAATACATTTAGCATACTGTGTTTTGAGTATCTTGGTATTATGGGATGGGGTACATAAATACATGATATTGGCTTCCAAGTAAATAGTGAAATGTAATCTATCTTCTTTTGGGGGCAGGTACTGGGGATTGAACTCAGGGGCACGCAACCACTGAACCACATCCCCAGCCCTATTCTGTATTTTATTTAGAGACAGGGTCTCACTGGCTTAGTGCCTCAATTTTGCTGAGGCTGGCTTTGAATTCTCAATCTTCTTATTTTAGCATCCCATTTACAGGCGTGCGTCACTGCACCCAGTGAAATGTGATCTATCTTAACAGAATATCTTAAGATATTTTAAAGATATCTTAACAGGATATCTTAAAAATATGTCATAAAAATGCCAATATGTCCCCTATATAATGATCCCAAATATGTAGAAGTTTGGGAATATTCATTTTTTGCTCTTCTAGTTCATACTAAAATATGATTGAATATCTTCTCAATAATGCAGAAGAAGAATTATAGTCAAGTAGGCATGAAGTGGAAAGGTCTGGGAGGACATTATGAATTTCCAGAGAAAAGGCATCATAGACTCACTACATTTTAAGTTTAAAAGGATTTTTGAGATAATAGATGCTTCAGGGATTTCATCAACAAAATTTTGTTTTAAAAGATTTGTGTTTTTATATCAGAAACAGCATCCCTCAATGGGCCAACATACGACATCTTAACACTGAAGCCCTTCAATACTTGACTTGAGTTACCAATTCAATTATTTTTGGTGAAGACTTCAGAATAAAGCTCTTCCATTATCTATGACTCACTGAAGAAAATCTTAAAATGGCCAGATTAAGAATTTTTGTCACATGGAGTATTACTCTGCATTTAAAAATGACAAAATCATAGAATTTGGAGGGAAATGGATGGCATTAGAGCAG